CAAAACCTAGTAATTTTATCCATGGATAAAATGGAATTATACAATAATGATGTTAAAGAGAAAGAAGTGAGAAAAATTGTCAGCCTCATTGCTGCAAGTCCTATAAAAGCCAGAAGAAAACCAAAGTTGGATTAAGACAACATGGTTTAGTGGCTGTATTCAAACACGGAGAAAGAAGGGTGCATTTTTCATAAAACAAGGCAGCATTAAAGCAGGAAGAACACTGCAGAGAGAAAATGAAAGAGAGCTGGTTAGATTTTAATGGGAGAGGATAACAAGCAATTGCATGGAGTTGTGGTAATAAGATGCAAGGGTATATGTTGTAGGTTGAGACTACAGAAAGAAAATGTCTGGCATGAAATTTGGAAAGCAGATGCACAAGAATGACCAGAGATCCATCTGAGAGCTATCTATGTCTTTTCAGCAGTTAATCTGGAGCATGATAGCCAATGACAACAAAGATGGGGATCTGACTATGTAAGAAAATGCTGCCTAGTAGCTCATTTTATTGTGCTAAGAGTTGGCAGAAGCCCAAAGCTGGTAGTGCTATAAGGCACGATGAAATATGAAAAGTTCTGGCAGGCAGTGTAGATAAAACAAGACTGAGGACAACTGGGACTACAGGCCTGATTTAATGAGTCTGGTATGTAGAAGGAAAGAACCAGACAACAGCAAGAAGGGAATCCACTTGATGAGTTATACTGGAGTATAACAGAAAGTGTAGAATTTGCTTCTGTGTGGGCAAGCAAATGGTTATGTAAACACCAGTTATTAGGAAAGCTGATTAAGGAATTTATAAACAAGAATGTGTTTTGAACCCCAGTGATCACTGGCAGCTGGATTCGTTTTACCTAATTTCACTCAGCTAAGAATTAATCCTTCAATCCTAAAATAGGTACCCTAGCCCCCTCTCACATCAATGGAGACAATAGATACTTTCAAATAGCTATTAGAGATTCAACCTATCTAAAAATCATTCTATTTTGACAGCTTGAGTTGTCCATTAGATATTCATATGTCTCCTTGTTGATGTCTCTTTATTTGTACAGGAAATCTAGTTAACTAGCATCCACCAGATACCTAACTGCTCTATGATCCAGTTAAGCAAGATGACTCCTTTCCTAAATTTCATAAAACTCCCATTCATGGTTAAAGTTCTGTCAGTTGTGTTGGTATTAATGTGTGTTGTTAAAGAGACAAAAGAACACCTTAAAAGAGGTTTTCCAATCTGATAGCAAATGACAATGCTAACGAGTTGTTACCACAAGCTCATCTGTGCATTTAGCCATACAACCTGGATTTTGACAAAATCCCTCTTTAGAGGCATGGAGGAAGTGCAGAAGTTAAAGTTACAAGGTACTCTTCTATAATGAGACATAAACAGCTTTTGAAAAAACAAGAAACATAAAATTAGGGAATACATTGTCCTTTTTCAGGGAAGGAGACAACAAGTAGAGATTGCAGGACTGATACAAAATGTTCTGAATGGTTTTAGCAAGCAGTAAGACAAGATGGTGAACAATAGTGAAACTGAATCAATAGAAGGAGCACGTGAATTTCTTGAAATACCATGAACAACTTACAGATCCTGTTTACAACATGCTGGGGGAGCATACTAACAGATGAAATAGAGTAGATAGGTGCCAAGTGATTCACATTAAAAAGAACCATTTTAGTGACTCACATGGTAACAATCAGGGAAGCAAAGATGTATCATGGTGGATACCTCTGCTTATTGAAAAACCTACTCAATGAGCAGAGATAGAAAGAAAGCAGAATGTTAGGCCGTACTGAGATAAAGACAGAAAATAATGCTGAAAATAGAATCTAAGGTTATTTTGTAAAACAGTGATGCATCCTCACTGTGTTCGTGGCATTCAGTTCCGATCAGAAAATCTTGATGAGATTAGTGTGGAAAGTGAAATGGCTGGGGAGATGGGCAGTAAAAATTATTAAAGGCAAAGAAAAACTTGTTTATGAACAGAGATAAAGAGGACAGAGACTACAACAGGACTGCAAACAGGGGCCTGCTTTGGAAAGCCATTACAATTTCTAGAAGAATTCTCAGTGCGTGCATAGATGCTGCTGCTTAAATTAGCTACATCTTGGAAAACAGTGAAAACACTGAAGCTTTAACTACTCAGGGTAATTTAAAGGGGAATGATCCCTACTGTGGGTATCTTAACATAAATCAGAAATATCTACTTATTCTTAAAACCAAGAGGAATAAGACTGCAATAGGATTGCTTGTGTACATTAAAAAGCCACCTATTTACAACACAGAAAAAGAAGCACTGCTTTACATTACACGTAAGTAATGTACGAACTGATTTCCACAAAGAGACACTGAGTTTTTAGTCTGTCAAGTTTAAGAAAGTTGCATGAATAAATAACACCTAGTGTATCTAAGTAAAGCTGACTAAAACAAGTATCTGAGGAATTCAAGTCTTCAGTCTTCAGGCAAAAAAGTAAGCACCAGCACACATTACTTAGCAACTGAAACACATTTAATTACTGTGACTAAACTAACAAGCAGCAGCTTACTATCATCGCTTGCAATCACTGCTCTCTCTCCTGCAGTACTTAGTTTCCCAGCAAGTGACAAGTTGAAAGTTAAACTGGGATCATCTGCAGCTGGAACATTTTACTACATTATTTATTTCCTCATTTATTTCTCCGGTGACATTTGCAAAACTTCTCCCAAACTTGTCTTGTACTCTTCTTTCCCTCTTCTAAAGCTTCTTTCATCAAGTTACAAGACATCAAATGCCACGTGACATCATTTAAAAAATATTTTGAATTCCTGAGCTTGAGCACTCAGTTCTTTTGAAAGCAAGGTTTTAAAGTTGTGACTAAACGTGTTGTCATTAGCCAAACATTACTTACAGCTTGGCTAAGTCCTCACCCAAGCAATAAGATAAATTCAGGATCTCCTTATCCTCTCTGTAATTCTATTTACTTTTCAAATGATATGGCAGTTTGTACAGTACTAGCTCCACTGCTTTTGACTATCCATCAGCACGATTCTTGTGAGGAATATCTGGTTCTCATACCTCTTTTCTGCTCCCACTGAAATAAATGGCAAAATTTCCTGACTTTCAGTGAAAGCAGAAAAGCCAGTAGAGGGAGCACAAATACACAGAAATAATTCTCTGTGGTTCCTGTATAAATGATAATGTCTACTATTTTTTCCTATAGCATTTGCACTAGTTTTTTTTTCCCCAATCAAAAATGCTGTCTTGATCAGGCTCCAACAGATGAGTGTAAGGATGTTTTTGGTGACTCTTCCTGCAGCCCCTGGGACCTCAGGACTCTTGCACGTAACAAGAGATCTGCTGACTGATGATCTCTGCCAGCTGATCGTTGTGCAAGAGCACACAAGTTGGGTGAACCAGTACAATGCATCACAACATGACTAAACACTGACTTTCCACCCTGAACCCCTGCTCATGCAGCAAGCTGCAGCCTTCAGCAGCAATCTGAGCCTTTATGTGAGCCCAGTGCCACTAGCTGTGCAGAGAAGGGTCACACCTCTGTCCCCTCTCTGTCCACTGATACTACTGTTGGATGTTGTGTGGAAGAGGTTGCTTTGCTGCAGGACTCATAGTGTGTTGCTTTGCAGCTGAGAAGGTGTCAGGGAATAATACAGGATCTCTATCCTCTTCTTCAAAAATTCAGGAATTTTAAATGGGATCTCAGGACTGCTGTGCTTTTTGAGAGCTTCCCTCATAAAGGAGGGAAAGATCTAATCTCTTCATGAAACTGACTCAAAAAGAAACACCTCACACGCCCCTTAGAAACCAAATGTAAACTGCTGAGTTTCTTCTTCCATTGTCAGGCTTTTCCTCTGCTGGAGAACAGAGCCTTCCCTCCTCTCCATCCTGCTTTGTTTGATATCACGTACATGCAACAATTGCAAAAGCACTTGCCAGTAGCATAAATCTGCTCCCATTAAAGAAAAATAGAGTTAGATAAATGACAAGTGCTTTGGAAAATGCTACACAGGAGAGGATAGAAAAAAAGAGTATGTAAGCACTTGAATGTGAATTATTTTCAAAACAAACAAAAAAGTCATCTTAGAAATTCACTGGCTCTACTAAATCTGGGGGGGGAAGTCATCAGTTTGGAGCTGAGGGAGGCTGAGATTCTCAGAAACGTAGGAAAGGCTGCTACTGTGACTGGAGGTGTAGGCAGGACTAGCGAACAGCCACTATGAGTAATTGGAATGCTAAACTGAATGTTTAAGTGTGCGACATTAAGTGTTAAGTACCTTTTTGGTTATCACATTTGATGTCTTTTCCATCCTCAATTTCCTCTCTTACAGAGTAAAAAAGGTAGCATTACGAGTCTTTGCTCTCCAGACAAAACTAATGCATTTGACTTTAGAGTACTACAAAGAGTACTATAAAAAGAACTACAGAAATCTTTGTGGACCTTGGTGAAGTCGCTGCACCCATTCTGAAGTCTGACACCTACCTGGTGCCTTACATTGATTAATAATTACCCTAAAAATACTTTCTGTCTGCAAACATAATAATATAATACAAATGACTATAATACAACCATATCTGATTTTCCATTGAAGAAGACTTCATATTTTTCCTTTCTTTTCTATGCATGTTCCAAAACATTTCAAGCCCCAGTCTAGTAGGTGACTGCTAACCGAGGAACTGAGCTTGACAGGCCAAATGGGCTTCTCTTGTCTCATATTCCTACTGTATTTTCACTGCCCAAAAGTTCTCAGCTGGCCCTATACTGACCTTTAGAAGAAAAAAGAAAAAGAGTAACTGGATAACTCGTGAATGTACAAATAAGTGCTGTAGTACAACATTAGATAATAACTACATATATAGTATGCACCAATATACCATGTATGATAGAATTCATCTTTTGTTATTGAAAATGATAAAGAAGAGGGAGTTTTTAGAAAGAGAGTCCATGAGGAGTAGAAGATTTGTGTGCATCTGTTTTGATAATCATGCAGGCTACAGACACTTTACCTGCTGGCCTGGTTTGAGTGGTGATAGTGTTATTCCCTGGGTATTGATCACTGGGAGTATCTGGTTGCCGATGACGGTAGCGATGATCTGACCCTGGGCATTGGTCAATAATTGTGGAGTTATCGGCTGCACCTGAAGTCCCTGAGCTCCACCTGCCGCTTGGCTGGAGGGGACTGGGTTAGGCATCAGTGGGATTGTTCCAATAATCTGGAAAAAAAGACACAGAATGGGAAAATGCACACATACCGCATATACTCACCACATGTGATTACTTGTTTCATGCACGTTACATCAAACTTGGGTGAAATAAGCACAGAGAAACAGTTATGATGGGCTGAAGGCCTCATCACCATGTTCCTTTATGGGGGTGATGAGGACATTCAAGCTCATTTTGTGTGTCCCATATCACCTGTAGGCTTTACCACTGTTATCCCCAACAAATCTGCTGTCACTGAGAGTGTCTGAAACAAATGGTGGGACATGTTCTGGTCCCTGGATGATGCTTCGTTCCCACCTCTCATTTGAACACAGAGTGGAATAGATGCACATACCAGTCTGTTCATCTTGCTTTCTTCATCTCATCCATACAACTGTGATCTTATGGTGCTTATGTAATTTTCCTTGGTTTACTGATGCCTAGTACTCTAGATGACCATCTATTACTCCCATGTGATCTCAGGAAGGATCAAAGAGATACTGGTGCATTTCAGGATATGGCTTATTAAGCCACATTCATAAAAATATAGCTGCTTTTGGGTGACAACTAAGTAGTATAACACAACAGGAGGGCTGGTGTTAGATAAAACAGCTTAGCTAACATTTCTGGGGCAAGTACTTGCAGAAAGAGACACTTGTGACATCTCAGATTTGGCAATACAGTGATTTCCTAAAATGTGAACATGCCTGTAAAACTTACATTAGGATGAGATGTCAAACAGATGCTGTAAGAAAGCTTGTCAGTCAATAAGCCACTAGGCTGAAGAAAGTTCCACTGTTGGAAGACTCTTTTTACAGGTATTAGAGCATCTGAAACAAACTTCTGATGAAACTTTGGAATAAACACAAACTTTTTGTTTGGCTGGTTTTGCGAACAACAACCGATGAAGCTACAGTCACAGGATTATTGCAACAGGAAAAGGAAAAAACCCAGCAGTACACATCTCTACCTCCTTCACTACATCTCTGACTTTATCGTAGTGCCTCAGAAAGCATCTATTGTAAGGCCTCCAGTCTTCCCTCTCCAGAAGCCTTGCTTCATCCTCTTTATCCTCAGCATCCACCACACTGCATGTCCTTTTTTCCCCCCACTAGTAGGATCCCCGTGGCCCTTATCACACTCATTGACTAGTGTAGATCTTCTTGGTTGCTGAGAAATAGGGTCTCTAAAATGATATCTCTAAAGATATCACTTAAGTTCTCCTTATTAAAAGCTAGACAGATTGATAAAGATTATTATCCTTGTTTTGCAGAGCAGGAAAGTGGAGTGCAGTGGAGCATATTCAAACAGGTTGTGAGTTAGCCTTCTAAGCTGGAACTTCTGTGAGGTTCTCTCTGCAGGTCAAATACTTCTGTTTCTTTTTAAGATGTCCCTAGCTGAACTGCAGCTGCTTTGCTGTCCATGTGAGAAGATGGTTCTTCACTGAGGAGGGAGGCATTTATTTAAATCATTATCAGATTTTGGAATGCTCTCTAAAATCTCACTTTCAGAATGAATTAAACGTGACTTTCACACAGTGCAACATGTACATTTCGCTCCGTTTTTGGCAACCTATAAACTATTTATGTGTCACAAATACATTCTTTTACTTTTAACGTATCACACCAAACACAAGGAATAATCCTTTTTAAGTTTATCAGCAGAAATGTAGCAAAGGCCTCTCCTTCCTTCGCCATGTCAGTAAAGGACATGACCTTGGAGTGTCATTACTCCAATGTAACTTTAACTACCAAGGTTCTAATCCCAGCAAAGCAAAAAATGCTGCGCTGGTGTTATCAGTAATAGAAATGTTTGCATTCACATTTAAAATGCATTTCTTGGACTGCAGTTGGACATTTCATAGAATGACAGTGCTGAAGTGGACAGTTTGTAAGGTCAGAAGCAGAAGGCTATCTATATGTATTAAAGTGTGTCACACGCCATTCTGTACATGGCATGCTGTACATGCACACAGCCAGAAATGGAGCACGGGAAACACAGCTGGGAGAGGTCTTCCACAAGGACAAATGAACAAATGCTCTCAGGGTGTTACCACAGGAGCCAAGGGTAAACCTGAATGGGAAACAGTTTTTCTACTTTCTGAAACTTACTGAGATTTCAAGATTTTATTTAATTTTTTCCATTTTATACCAAAATAAAGTAAAATCTTCTCTGGTTGAAAAAAACAAAAAAGACAGGCACTTGTTTCTAGTTAACCAATAAGGCTACTCTTTATGGCATGTATCTTTGATATGGCTAAACCCAGATTGAAGTTTTCTCTTTCAAGTTCCACCTTCTCCAAGTACCTTCTCTGAAATAACCTAACAGCTCCCTGATTCACACACAGGGAGTAGTACTGAAATGGGATCCCCTCCTCAAACCTTGTGCCACTGTCCTGATGCTGAGTCAGATCCCTCTTCTGCTAATTTTGGTATGAAATTTCACGCTGGGCCTTGCTAATCTGTCCTGTTGAAGTATGATAACGGCTGGTACTTGGTCAAGGTGATTTATAGTTTCAATACATTTAAATTTTCTAAAGAAATAAAACAAGACCATGCCACAGGCTTGAGACACTGGTGTGCCACAGTACAGAGTATTTAATTGCCAGGGGTTTTCCTTGTGTTGAAGCATTGGTCCTTTCTAGCAAATGCTATTTCAGATTATAGTTAAGGAATACATACAGTTCAGGAATAGCATGTGACAGGGACTTATCCCACAAGATACTTACAGAATCATACAATCATAGCATGGTTTTGGTTGGAAAGGCCCTTCTAAAGCTCATCTATCTTCAAATCCCCTGCCACGGGCAGGGACACCTTCCACTACACTAGGTTGTTCCAAGGTCCGTCCAACCTGGCCTTGAACACTTCCAGGGATGTGGCAGCCACAGCTTTGAGACATAGCAGAGGCTTCTTATTCTGTCAATGTTTGGACTCAAATCCATAAACAATCCTACCTGTGAAACACCTGGTTGTATCTGTTGGAGGTACAGGTTCCAGATATAAGCACAAACTGTAGTGCAGATATGACACTGGAAATAGTACCAAGATATTTAGTGTAAGTTCAGGCCCCAGCTTTTTTTACAGAGACATGGTTTTGGTCCACCCCTAATTAAAACACCAAGACTGTAACTGTGACCCTACTCAAGTGATAGAGTGTTGTGAGAAGCCTTGGTGGATTGAGACTTGCACTTCAAGTATTTGATAAGATCCTTTTGTTTTGTTTATGCATTACTAGATACATCAGTTGCATCTTGAGGGGCTTAGAGAGCAGTGTTTACAGATGTTAATTTAGGTTTTTATGTTTCCCAATGTTAACTAAATTTGTAAAATTGATACTTGTTTCTAAGTTCAGAAGACATCCAGGGCGATTTTTAAGAGCATCTGAACATTTTCCATTGATTTATCTGTTAGTGTCATTTTTGCACCATAGGATTTTAAGATATCTCAGATCAGGCCTCTCAAATCTTACAACTGACATTGCCAAGACAACTTCCACTATTGAGTGTTATTTGTATGAGATACAGTTGTAAGGCTTGGCTTGCACAGGAAGTTAATTTGTTGATCTGCTCCTACATACCATCTCTGGGCTCAGTGGTCTTTGCCTACATAGTCCTGCAAACTGTAAATTCATCTGCAATGAAAGAATAAGCACACAGTCAAAGTGAAGGTAAAATCCCAAGTAATGGAGCTGACCATGGAGGGGAAAAATTCAAGCCCTCTGCATATCAACTGTATTTGTGAGTGTTACCCCGATGACAGGGTAACGTCCTAGCACTGATGAAATGCTAGCCACTGTTGTGCTGTTAAACAGATTTTGGTCCCTTGCCTTGCTCAGTAAAGGTTTCTTCTTAGAAAGGAAATAAAAACATCTGAGCCCTTAAAAATGATCCTTTAAACAACAGATCTTTAAGAAAGAAGAATGTTAAAAAATACCCATTCTTAGCCTTTCTTGACTGACAACACATCTTCATGTTTAATTGCCTTTGTGGATTACCTTGCTGTAAGTCACAGGCTGAACCTGAAAGCAGAAGCTGAGCAATTGGTCAGAACTTCTGGGGATACATGCCTAATTGTAGTCCCATTTGTGCTGTAGGTGTAAAAAAGAGATTTGGCATAACTGTAAGAAGGACTAATTGCTGATTTCCCAGCAGTGACTCCTTCCTTGTGGCTCCTAATAAGTCAAGGGCACCAAAACACAAATGCGTTTTGGCATTAGGTAAATTTCCTATGATATTCTAAAATAAAGCACACAATTGTTTTTTATTAAGTTCTTTTCCCTCTCCCCTCATCCGAAACAGGGACGCTGCCCTGCTTCCTTGTTTTCTTAGCACAACCAAAGGAATCTTACTGTAGCCAAACGGGTGGTTCAACAACTGCCTTTGTTTCTGCTGTGAAAAGGCTAAGTAAAATCAAAGACTGACTACACTAGGTTGTTTCTACTGTTAGCCAGGGCTGACATAAAGCAAATAGTGCCATTTTATCTTTATACTCTTTAACTATAAGAAGGAAATGTTTTTTTTTTCAGTATAATCAAAATCAAAGTATCTAATTTTATCAGTGCTGCAGCCCTTTAAGTATTAAAGGTTAATTATTTCAGTTTTGAACAACAGAAGAACAACATAAAAAGAAAATAGAAAAAAAAACAGGGAAAAAGTAAAAGGAACAACAGAAAAATTGTTCAGTGACATGAGGCAAACCACCATATACACATAAGCTAATTTAACATCTCAAACTGTGAACAGAATGCATGGAAGTTTTACTCCTATGTAGCGACCCAAAAGATCACTGAGTGAATGTTTACTGATTTAAATATGCTTCACTCATCTTCATTTTCTAGTCTTCAGAATATAATCTGAAATAAAAGCTCACTTTGGCTTCCTCTTTCTTAATCATACATATATATACACATGACTTACATAAACTATAAACACAGTCAGATATTTTTATATATATATATGATTTATTACCTACCAGCATCAATAAATTCAGCTGTTCTATACACTATACTA